AATTTGCTAATTATGTCACACTATTTAAGAAAAAATTTGAAGCTTTTCTAACCGTCCTTACCATGCTACCGGATCAAAAAATAATCATCAATATATCATTATTCCTTCTTGCATTAGGTCTTTCTCACACTTAGATATGTAGTTATTTGCCCAAACTGGGGCTAAGTAAAAACCTATTGCAATACTTGCGTCTTTTCACAAAACTCGCCGTCACAGGTGAAATAGATACTATTTATTGATAGTTTGTGATGCCTTAGAATGGAGGTTATACTTAATTTGATTCCTTACGTAATCTCTGAATGTCCCTCCAGGTTAAGAATTAGAGTCTGAATGGCCCACTTAACTGGAGTATTTGTGTACATTGATACCATGTCAAAACTTACTAGTGTTTCTGAAATACTTTGCTGGTCCATTAGTTTAACAAATTCTTGAACGTTTTTAACCGACAATAGCCCCAAACCGGTTACTTACTAATTCTATGCATATATAAGATGAGATTTTATTTAACACACTATCCTTATTGTTTGCAATCAACCTAAGGAGAAGCCTCCATTTATTCATCTTTTGAAGGTTATTAGTTGAGGATGTCCTGCTATCCCATTTAAGGAATTCATTTTAACTTCTTCATTTCCCACCTACTTACGCATACCTTCAAAGCATCTCATAGCCTTGTTTTAAGTGTATGCAAGATCTTTTATTAAAGGCTTATTCGTTTCAATGTTATTTAAGTACACAAGCATTTTCCCCAGGTAGCTTGACCTACCATTAAATACCACCGCTTTTATAACAATTAGATTATTACTAATTAAATATATAGATATATACCCTGCTCAGAACAAAGCATTTCTTTGGCGTACAACGCGAATCAGTCGGCATCTTCTGGTGACATTGACCTACGAATCTCTTCATCATATACTTCCATATAAGATGAAAGTCTTCAGAACCATCTTGTCCCAATCGATTCCTCGAAACCCTTGATTTTTCGTATATAAGTAATCTTCTATGCTATTGTTTGCCTTACTTTATTTTGATTGCGATTGACATTTAATGGTATAAGACAGGAACTGAAGATATCAATGCTTAAGATTTGCTTATCTAAAATAAAGCTCAATCCCTCTCTATGATGAAGGAGCTAGTCCATCTCGCTTTATTGTCGAATACCACCTCGCTCGAATATATCGTTAATCAACATTTTAAAATTAGGGGTAAACCTATTTCAGCCATTGTCAGATAGCCGAAATAAGCGAGCAACAGCCCTCGAAAATGAAAGACAAACTATTCTTATTTTATTGCAATCTAATTTATTTATTCTTATATATTGTTAATCTTATCCTTGATTGATGCAAAGTTCCGAAACTCTAGACAAGAGGCTTAGCTGATTATGAATGAGTCTCCTGCTTTATCATTTTTGAATTAATTTCCATTTCGTATAAAAGCTTGTCATCATTACATTTATTTAGCCATCTCTGTTAATAATGGCAGGCTTTCCTCGGCCTACTTGTTGATTTTGCTGGAACCGTTTATTTGCCATATACCCTTATGTTTTGTCGCTGGGAATCCCTTGGATAATCCAATTATTTATCCATACTCATTTTTGACGATCTGATAAAGATGCTGGCTGGATATAGATTAGTTTCTTAACTTTGCCACCTACGTAAATGCACAAAAATTACTCTAGATATTTTAATTCAAAATTGTTCTAGCTGTAATTATAAATTCTTTGATAGCTCCTTTTTCCATCTCTTATTCGTGAAACAAAACGATTTGCTTATATTATCTATTATCCACAATAAGTAAAATCTAGTTTGATGCCTCTTACCTCTGATTCCCATTTATAGGTTACTTCGCCAACCTCTAACAACCTTTTCCGTTCTGATGTACTCTTCTGCCCTTGTCTTGGGTAAGCTTTGTTATTTATTGCTGTTAAATTTTATACCCAGTTAAATCTTGATCACCAACCTTAGCCACACCATAGTCTCCTAAATTTAAACCGTTTGGCAGAGCATGACTAAACATAATTCATGTTACATTTAGTTTATAAATTTTTTGCGGAATTTTTTTATTGAAATATCATTATAGCTGTTGTAATTCGTAGAAATTGTATCACACGGAAAACCTTGATGATATTTTTGTAACCGATTTCTTCACTCAACGTTTATCACTAATAAGCTAATCGTCAAATATAATTAATGAAATACTTAGGAGTCATATTATAGCAATAGTAAATTACCAATTATAACTTTTTACGTCCTTATAAACAAAATATCTTGTCAAAAATTGGCTATTTCATTATAAGCCTGGTCATTTATTTATTTTTTTATGATCTTATTAACCATACTGACTATATATTAAGGCTTTTATTTCCATTTAGTAATTATATATTTATTTATGTAGTAATTATTATTTGAGTCTGCGCAATAAGTGGCTTTACTACGCAAATTTATTCTTTATTAATAAAAAATAGTTTAATTTAATACTTCTTTATTAACTTGCTCTTTGTTTTACCATACTTCGCTCAGCTTCCCATACTCCTATAACTCGACACCATCTCATTTTGCATATTATCTCCTGGATGCGTATCCAATGGGCCCGTAACATTCTTTACTACCAACGGCAATCTAAGATCTCGAGTTTCGTAATCTCGCCAAGCTATAATACCCATTCTTCATCTGTTTCCGGTCAAACCTCAACAAATCGAGAGAGCCATCTCCTCCTTGGGGACATTACGTCAATCAAAGAATATGCATCCCCTCCCTCTGCCACTTATCCTACTACTGCATCTGATTGCCACGGTACACCGAAATTGGAGGCCCTATCGGCTGAGCAGCGAGTAGATAACCTGAAAGAAGAGACTTTTGAGGCTCTTAAGGTATAGAATTATACATATCTAGGATATTTGCCATAATTATTTATTGCTTTCTTCCTACCTTTGCTGAGAGTTCCGAATCGTCTACAAAATTTGCCAAATATAACTGAATGAATAGATGTTTCTAAATTAATGTGTTGTTACATTTTATAAATTTTTGATTATCCGATTTTGGAGCTAACTAACCTAGGAGTCAAAGAGCATATAAGTTAGTAGTCTTATTGTTGTCTTATTTTGTTGGATTTTAGATTTTAAAGCTATTCTGCTCACTACAGTTTAAACTTCTGTTTAGCCGCACTTTACTAATTCCCCACTGGGACATGAGTGAATCCCTCTTTTGAAATATCTTTTTGCATACACCTTTTACCGTTTTTACTTTTTGCTTAATTTTTTGTCATTTATATGCTATATTTTAGGTGTACTACTTTTTATGAACACACCATGTTTTGCCATCAAAGATAGGATAAATGCTTTTTTGAGACAATTTTTTTCTTGTTTACAAACACCCTTAATTATTTAAGTTCTTAAAATATTCGCTCCAAAATATATAATCTACACTTCTTGCATATTTTATTACAATATTTTTATTTTTATTAAATTGACATATTTTTTGACCTAAGTTTATCTTAT